ACCACCTACCTCCAAATAAACAAAGGCTCCACCTCCATATAGTTGTAGCAAAGGAACARRAGATCAGCAAATRGAAACAGTCCTYATTCTCGGCCTTACACAAGGAACACCAATTTGGGGAAAGACAAAGCGAGGGTCTCTTTTTCTGTAAGTTTTCCAAAGTATAGATTTTCCCATAGAAGACTTCCCAGTAGAATACAGCAATTTTTGGGGGAATAGGTCGCGCCCAGACTTCTTTGACAGGGAATCCTTGGGAAATGGGGTTAGAACTAAGGGATTTTAGAAAACAAGAGCAAGTAAAAGTACCTTTTGGAAGAGGAGTCCAAACCCTTTGATCAGAAAAAGTGGGGTCCAAGCAAACAGATTCTAGTAAATGAATTAGCTCAATAACACAACTCGACTCACCATCCCTTAACCCTCTACGAAACCCAAAGTCTCGGTTTAAAGATAAGGGGTTTAACAGGCTCGGGAGAAAAGTTGCAATTGGCTCATGTTTGTGAAGGGAAATGGAATAGAGCGAGGGGAAACAATCTTTGAGGGGTTGAGTATCCACCCAAATATCCTCCCATAACAGAATAGCATTACTAGAACAAGCATCATACCTGATGAATCTGAGGAAGCAAGGGAGAATACCATGTATAGCCTTCCAAGGTGTTGTAAGGGTAGCTCGGCGAGATATCCCGGAATCCCAACCATTTCCTACACAACCATGAATGGTTGCCACCACCTCATGCCATAATCTCTCTCTCTCTTCTCTCCCTCTCTCTCTCTCTCTCTCTCTCTCTCTCTCTCTCTCTCTCTCTCTCTCTCGGGGCCATCTCCATAGCCACTTCCCTAGAAGGGCTACATTCTTCAGCACTATGTTCCATATCCCTAAACCCCATTCTTCCTTTGGTTTGCTAACTATCTCCCATCTGATCAAGTGATCCTTTTTCACCTCTCCTAGTTCCCATAGAAAGTCCCTCATTTTCTTCTCTAGTTTCTTAGCCTCCCTTGGAGGAATCCTGAACACTGAAAGGAAGTAAGTTGGAAGGTTGGCAAGTGTAGCCTTAATTAAAGTCAGCCTACCCCCTATTGAAATGTAATTCTTTTTCCAAGTCATCAAGCACTTATCAAATTTCTCCACAATAGAGGCCCAAAAACTACTTTCTTTAGGGTTGGCTCCTAAGGGTAGCCCTAAGTATGTCAAAGGCCAAGAAGAAATATTGCAACCTAAGCATTTCGCAATGGATTCAATCTCCCTATTCTCCAAGTTTACTCCAACCACACAACTTTTATCAAAATTTACCTTCAAGTTGGAGACCCTCTCAAAAGTACTTATTAAAATCTTAAGGTTCTCCACTTTGCTCAACTCATTCCCTTCACAGAAAATAACAACATCATCAGTAAACTGAAGGTGAGTTACTGGAATGCCTCTGCTCCCTATTCTCCATCCCTTTATTTGGCCCTCCTCATYTGCTTTGGAGATCATCCTACTAAAGATATCGCAACAAGTGTAAAGAGGAAAGGGGAGAGTGGATCCCCTTGTCTTAAGCCTCTATTGGTTGGAAAAAAGTCCTTAACCACCCCACTCACCAACATTGAATAACAACAAGAGTTTAAGCATCCTCTTATCCAATTACACCATTTATCCCCAAATCCACGTCTTCTCGACATCTCCAGTAGGAAATTCCAATCCACTAAGTCAATCTTTCTCCAAGTCCAGTTTGCAAACAAATCCTTTCCTGCCTGATCTCCTTATATCTTCCACACTCTCATTTGCAATAAGGATCTTATCTGTAATTTGTCTATCCTGTATAAAGGCTCCTTGTGCTTGGATAACAAGAGAGGGGAGAACTACTTTGATCCTCCTAGAGAGAGCACTTTTGCCAGAATCTTATAGATGCTTGTCACCAGGCTAATTGGCCGAAAATATTTGGGGTGCCTGGCATCATTTTTTTTGGGAATTAAGGCTATAAAGGTCGCATTGATTCCAAAACTCACAAAATGTTTATCCTCAAATTCTCTAAATACTCCAATTAAGTCTTCTTTGACGATGTCCCAACAGTCCTAATAAAATTCCATTGTAAATCCGTCAGGACCCGGTGCCTTAGCCCTATCCATAAAAAAAAATAGTTTGTTTAATTTCCTCTTCCTCAACCATTCTTTCCAGCCATCCCTTATCAGTTTGGTTCAAAGTTGGCCAATTCTCCTCCCCTACTATTAACCAATTCTCTAAGGGTCTTTGAAAGATGGATTTGAAGTGATCCACAATCCTATTGGCAATCTCCTCTTGAGAGGTTATCTCCACTCTTTCACATATAGCTGTTATCTAATGAAAAACAATAAACCATCAATATTTTTTTCTGAACACAACAAGTTCAGTTAATATCCTACCAAAAAAATAGTTCAATTATAATAGATTGTCAACTTGATTTATCCCATCTAAAAGAATAGGGTATTGAACCTTTTATCTGAATGGTTGCCTTTGTTCTCCCAAATGGCATGGGATTATTGCCTTTCAGACACTTCTCTCCAGAGTTAATGCACAGTGCATACCATCCTCAATGACAATACAAGCACCCATTAACCACCTCCCCATCACGCACACACACACAGAAAAAAGGCAACACAAACATCTGGAACTTTCCAAATTTTAGCACTCCTCACTCTGCTACAGTCCTAAATGTTAAAATGTTTGGTTTGGCGCATTCCATCAGTCTTAAGGCTTTTGGTGTATTGGTCAAGCACACAACATTTGGTATCAGAGCCTACCACCACATCTCAAGTTCGAATCATGGAGAGGGCTACCTAGATCAGAGTGAAAGCTACCACTGAAAGGGTACTTGGAGTAGAGTGAAAGCCACCAAAGGGAAAGGGCTACCTGCTTCCTATTAGAGAATATCAACCTATTCAAGGACCTCAACTAACAGCTTAAGCTTTTAGATTGAATGGTTCTTTGAAAAGGTATCAAAGCCATTTTGACCAAGTGGCC